TCGAAGAGCTATCCACTTCGCTCGTCTACCAGCGTGGACGGATTCCATATGCGACACTATGCTGCCTTGTCGGATAGTACTCTCTCCTGCCTCTCCATGATCTTCAGCATCATTGAAGCCGCGGCCACCTTTCCCAACCAGATCAGAAGCGCGCCGGTTACCCTCCAACCGAAGTCGGCTGGGGCGCGGAGGCCGATCGGTCTAGTTCCCCCCCCTGGGTTGAGAAGGAGGCATGCCGCGGAATGGGGAGGCAGGTTCCAGCGTCCATATCTGGTGGCAGGTGTTTTTGCAGGTGCAGCCGACGTTGTTCGGAGGCAGGCTGACGAGGCTGAGGTATCCACTAAACGTTCTAAGGCTCAGGTTGCTTGTTCCGTGCTGTGGGACCTGCATCAATTTTACGAGTATGTTCGATTGCCTCCCTTCCAGGAGCGATGCGCCATGCTAGGATTTCCTCACCAGATCTCCCGAGTATGTATTGCAGCGTATCGCGGGCCGAGATGCGCGGCGATTGCGGGCGCGATGAAAGGGCAGTTGTTTTGCTGTGCACGGGGCTGTAGCAGGGGACTCGCATGCCACTTCGCCCGTTCGCGCGCGCTACCCCCTCGATGGACCTGGTCAGCGAGTCTGCGCGCAGGCCGTCGAGCATTTACATGGGTGATTACGGCATTCAACCCACAGGTACAGTTGCGCATGCTATCGAAATCCTCCTCGCAATTTCATTTAGTCCTCACCGATGGCACGATGCGCCTCGTCTTAGAGGACAAAGCCTCAGCGGTTCGCTCGCCCCAGGCAGCGGGGGCCAAGGCCGTTGGATTCCTAGAAGGCCCGGGGGGCAAGGTTTCAGCAGTCAGCTCAGCAGTCAATCTCGGGGTGGACGACGCGGCGGGGAGACCTGGGAGACCGGGTGGGCAGGGGGGCGAAGCACGCTCGCAAGCTAGCTGCATTTAGGAAGCGCGCGCTCAGGCTTGGTAGATGCCGAGCAGCACTTGGGCAGAGGCTAGCTGTGCGAGTCGTTGCAACGGGCCCCTTGGCAGGGGCCACTTATGCTTCTGAAGTTCACTGGGTTTCCGACTGCGAAGTGGGTGGATTGCGTCGTTCGCTCGGGCGCGTTCGTAAACCATTTTCGGGACAGAGAAGCTTCGCTTCCTTGCTCATCCTTGAGAACGATCCATGTTAGTTTCTGGCGGTTTCGCCAGTGGTACGGCATTCCAAAGAGACCTGGGCCATTCAATGCAAGATATCTCAGTTCCCGTTGTCACTCTGATTATGAGGCAAGCTTGGGAGCAAGTCTTTGGCGATCTGGAGGGCAACCAGGATAAGTTGTCGTCATCTCGCATCGGATGGGGCACGAAATCACTCACCGAGCTTGTCAGTGATTCCGGGGACACCTTGGGCGCGACCTCCATGTCGCCAGTTCTTATCAAGTCTTCCCTGAGAGATGAAGTCCCCCGGCAGTTGCAGCGCGATTCAGGCAAGTCCCTCGGCGTCGGCGCCAGGCTCTGCTATGACGTGGCCCAGGCAGCCCTGTCCTCCAGCAAATTCAACTCCTACGAGAAAGGGCGCATTTGTGGGCTTAGTTGCGGAGCTGCCTGGACCATGGATCGTGCGATCCAAGCTGGGTACCAGGTGGAGTCCGACCTGTGTCCGCCCTTCAGGGCTGCTTCGGATTCGATCCGCCATCGCTTGTGGTGTTGTTCGGAAGTTCAATCGCTTCGGGACCAAAGACCAGGAGGTTCAGGAAGCAGTTAAAGGTATCGACCAGGATGATCGGCAGTAGTTCCTTCCTTATTATAAGGCGGTTCTCCCGCGCCCAGGTGATTATCGGCTTCGTCCTCGCAGAGAATGCGGAGTTTTTGCGCGTCTTGAGCCGACGATCCAGAGAGGGGGGACACCAGCGCCTCGGGGGGGGCATCTTCATGGGCGGAAGTTGTGAGCGCAGCATCATTGCAGAGTTATCCCGAGCAAGCTGGGGGCTTGCAGCCCACTGAGCTTGGGGAGCTTTTACGTTCAGTGCGCGGGCCCATATGGGCCCCCCCTCGCCCAAACCAGCCAAGCGGGGGAGCTTGGGGCCCTAGAGGCCGCCTCTCAATGCATATCTGGGCCGTCTATGGGGGCGGGGGGCACTGTGATTGTCAGAATGTGGTCAGGGCCAAAGAGGCCCCCAGGGCTCTGCAGCTCTCCTACAAACGCCCGTTTATGCTGCCATAATGTTTTCAAGAAGGTGGAGGCTCACGCGCTGGAGGGAGATGCGCACTCTTCCCTGGGCGAATTAATGATTCGGCCGACAGGGCAGCCAAGCGCGGCTTCAGGCTGCACCTTAGGCCCACCAACCACGAGCGTGATTGTTTTTACTTTGGCAGGTGCGAGCCTGCAAAGCTGTGACCAAGCTCGGAGCGCGGCTCCTTCCAGCTTGGCCTCGGCTCGATTTGTCAGGTGCTGAGTTAATTAAGTCCCCGAGGGAGGCCAGAGTTTCCGCGCCCACGGTCGACCACGAACGGTCGTGGTGCAGAATCTATTGCAGGTGTGACGCATGTTTGCCCCTCAGACGCCAGGATAGCCGCCCCTCGCCGCCCGGTTGTTCGGGGGAGGTTCCCTTGGCGCTTTTAGGAGCGAAGGAGCGAGGACATACGCTTCTCGCCTTCAAATGCTCCGACGAGAGTCCGCTGTTCGCTTGCACCTCTTGCAAGGCCTACATCGCGCTGGGCCTTCCCAAGATCCTTGGTGAACCTTGCCTGGGGACTACGGGAGCCACGAGGAGTAATAAGAACAGGTGGGCTCTCGTTTTACAAGGCCGTCACCCGAAGCACAAGGGTGTTTCGTTGACGGCTGACGTCCTTGCTTCCAAGTGATCTTGATGGCAGGGGATGGTCCATGTAAAAACAAACACGACCGCCACCAGCGCCGACCACGTTGAGATCGATGACGCCACCATCGCCAATAGGAGCCCAGGAAAGCTCCAGAGCGAATTGCAGGCGGCCAGCCAGGAGCGGCGCGAGCGAGCCCAGCGGGCTGCCCAACGGCAGCTTGGCGAGAATAGCGTGGGGCATGGGCTCGTGCGGAACGGGAGGAGGGTCACACGTCAGTCGGGCGATGCCTTGGAACTCCCAGAAACGACGCCCAATTCTACAAGGCGCCCAGCAGTGCCATGAGGGGCATGGCCCCGTGATTTTCCGGAAGGCCCACAGCATTGTTGAGGCGATCCGCTCCCACCAGTCCCCCGTTTTTTTGTTGTTGTTTTTTTTTCCCCCTGAGCGCGTCGGGAATACCCCTTCCCGCTTTCACACCTCAGCGCAGTATGTGTGCGCGTTTCGGGCTCTCATATGTAGCTTCGTCGGGTTGTTTCGCGTTGGGACCGCGGGCCGCTATGCACCCTACCTGCCGGGGTGCCCTCGGGGCGCCTACTCTCAGGGACCTTCTGGGCGATCCGTGACCTGGTGTCGTCATTGGAAGCGGCTGAGTGCTCTAAGGGGGACCTACCAGCGCGTGCCGACGGTGCAGAAGCAGCATTGAGGGAAATCTCGCACAGGCCTTCCTTCCAGGCAACGTCCCAGCAAGCTGAAAAGCTCGCGGGCTTCAAGTTTTAGCCTGAGAAATATTGCAGGGTCCCGCTTTGGTCTGTTGCCAGATCAACTGTTTGAGATGGCCCGCGCCATCTTCCTACCCAACGCGTGCCTGCTTGGAACACATTCACAATTACTTCGGCCACCTTGTCTTTCGGTGCGTTGATGGGCGCTGGGGGGCCGATGCGTGAGAAGCCGCTGGTCGAAAATGGTGGGGTTGGTTCGGGAGAGGAGTCTCAGCCATTTAGCCCAGTGTAAAGTTGTGTCCCCTCCCATTCTCTTGAAAGAATCTGGGCTGTGCACGACTTGCTGACGGCGCCGCCAGGCTCATTCAAATGCAGCGAGCTGTTTAGTGTGTAGTCCTGGATGCCGCTAGGATGTCCTCTGTCGGTGCTCCTAGCTACGGCCGCTGCAGGGCGGCGCATGGCCACTAAGACGTTGCACAGGTGACGGGAGGGTTGAGTGGATCGTCACAGGGAGGCCGCTCACCAGCAATGTGGTCGTGGATCTGTTGCGGGTACGATGGGCGGCACCGTGCTTGGCGATGACTTCGAACATCGTTGAGAGGCTCAGCGCGCGGTGGGAGATCGTGGGCACGAGCTCCCTCAGCTTCATGCTATTTTATCGATTTCGTCAGCTGTGCGTCGATTTCTTGAATCAGCCGCAGTCTTCTGGCGCAGATAGCATTCACCCCAGCCGAAGCGCCCTGCCCTCCGAGCCTGCCAATCGAGTAGCTGGTAAGGTGATCGCACGACTCGTACCCCCTGGGTACGTGTTATCCTCCTCCTCCTCCTCCTCCTCCTCCTCCTCCTCCTCCTCCTCCTCCTCCTGCTCCTCCTCCTCCTCCTCCTCCTCCTCCTCCTCCTCCTCCTCCTCCTCCTCCTCCTCCTCCTCCTGCCATGAATGCGCGACCAGCAAACTCGCCGAATGCGCCACTACACCAGCAAACTCGCCGGCGCATTGCGCTTGCTGCGCTTGTGGGCTCGCTTCCTGAGTTGTCCCAAGATTGGTGCTGGTGCCCTGGTCCGTGAACGTCGGGGTAGCCCCCTCAAGGGGCAGCGGGTTTCTCTTACCTCTCAAACCTGCCTTCTCTAGTCCACTGCTCTCGACCGTCATTCCTCAGGCCCGCTGCTTGATCACTCCCTCCTCCTCCTCCTCCTCCGAGGGAGGGAGGGTATTTTAACCGTAGGCGCCCTCGTCTGACTGGCCGACCGACCCGCCGCTCGTCATTCAAGGAGGGGGGCGCCCGCAGTAGGAAGGAAGATTTGCATGGTTCTAGGAGGAGGGGAGCTTTGGACGAGAGGGCGTATGGCAGCATCGGTTGCTGCATCTTGGGCTGACTCTGGTCCCCCTCCACCTCCATCCCCCATCCTCCTCGTGGACAGCCCGCGGCGGCTCGCGGCGGCGGCGGGCCGCGGCGGCGGGGGCACCCCCCCAGAGGTCCGCAGCCGACTGGGCGAGCGAGCGGAGGCGGTGGCCACCGCCACGCCCGGGCCAGCGGAGGCCTGCGCCCCGGGCGTGGCGTCGTCAGGGTCGCCGTCGCCGCCGTCGTCTTCCGCATCCTCGTCGTCTTCCACGTCCTCGTCCTCCTCCTCGTCCTCCTCGTCCTTCTCGGCATCCACGTCCTCGTCGTCTTTCTCGGCCTCCACGTCCTCGTCGCACTCCTCGTCCTCGTCGCCCTTCTCGGCCTCCACGTCCTTGTCGTCCTTCTCTGGCCTCGTCGTCCTCCCCGTCGACGCCGTCCTCAGGAGGCCCCGTCCGGGGCGTGGGCGAGGGCCGAGAACCTCGTGGGCTTCGCGGACCGTCCCGAGAGGCCGTGCGAAAGGGCCTCGCGCCGGAAGGGGAGCGGACGTCTCCGTTTGCTCTTGGAGGCGTTCCATCCTCCTCCTCCTCCTCCTCCTCCTCCTCCTCCTCCTCCTCCTCCTCCTCCTCCTCCTCCTCTGCTGAAGCGGTTGCTTTACAACGGGGGACGTCCTTCAGAGAAAATTAATCCTTGTAGGGGCCTATGAAGATGGGGCTTGCAGGGAGGGTTTATTGTAACATCGTTTGTGATTATTGGGTTCACACTGATCCTCCTCCTCCTCCTCCTCCTCCTCCTCCTCCTCCTCCTCCTCCTCCTCCTCGTTCAAGTTTCGAGGTATATGGGCGCGGATCGTCCCGAACGGCCGCCAGGGGCCAAAGTTTTGGCCCGAGGGCCACACGCTTTTGGGTCCCCGGCGGCTTCCAGCCTCGGGGTGCTCTCTACTGGCTGCGCCTCGCCAAGAGCTTCCCAGGGGTGCTGGAAGCCCAAGTTGTGGCCCGAGGGCCACTCAGGGGAGGGACCCACGGTTTTCGCGGACCGCCTGGAGAAGCCGTGCGCAGGTTCGTCGAGGATGAGCAAGAAAGTTGCACTGGCTTGAACTTTCGGAGGTACGCGCTGATTTCTCGGGTCGGCGCTGGGCCCCCCCCCCTGGCGACGCCTCAAGCGCCGCCCCTGCGCACGACACAAAATCCGTACGCACATACCTCTGAAAATCAAGGCGCATGCTGTCTTTTTCGGCGGCGCGACCAGGGGAAGGCAGAAGGACTGCCCTTTTCAGAAGGCTTGGAGGCCTCCTGGGAAGCCTTCTAAGCCTCCCCTCCGAGGCCAGAGCGAGTTTGTGGGAAGGCCCGGGGGCTGGTGAGAAGAGCCGCCGCCTTCAGAGAAGGCTTGCCCCCTCTCACTTCTGCCCCCTCGGCGCGCCACCGAGTTTGGCTTTTGGGCCATAACTCGGGTCTCCGGCGGCCGTTCGGGACGACCCGAGGACCCCTGGAACGCTCTCGGCCAGGCGCAGCTCCTGGAAAGCACCCCGAGGTTGGAAAACCTCGGGGAGCCAACAAACTCGTCAGAAAACGTCGCGAACTTCCCCCTCGGCGCGCCGTCGGTTTTGTGCTCTCCCAGGACCGGCCCGAGAAGTCGTGCTAGGGCCCGCCGGCGCTGCCGTGGGGCTTCGTGGGTCGCCGCCGGAAGCCGTGCGGGGGCCTGCCGGCTCCGCCTCCGTTCCCTCACCCGACGGCGACCATGACCACGACGTGCGCGACGGCCGCAGCGAACGCGGCGACGACAGCGACGACCCAGCCCTCTTCCCCGCCTTACCTCCTCCTCGCCGCCGTCCTCCTCTTCCCCTCCCTCCCTACAGCCGCGTGTGGGAGTTTTGCCCCGCGCGCTTCACCTCACGCCTCCCGTGTATCGTGGCCTGCAGGCCGCCCTCAAACAGTGCTCACACTATCAGGTGCGGCCAAGCCCTTCAGGCCACACTCTCCACTCCTCCCGATGATGACGCGGACAAAGCACTCTCGTTTTGGCCGATGGCGCCCGCGAAGCCCTTCGCAAGGCGCGGGCTTGGCGGCCTGGCGTGCTCGCCAAGGCCGCCGGCCCCCTCCTGCGTGCTTCCACTGGCCTGCCGTCCGCCTCGGGCCGCGGGACCCACCTCGAGGACCCCCGCCCGCACTTGGCCCTGTCACTTCCCAGCCCTCCGTCCTCCTCCAGTCACTCGAGCCCTTTGCAAGTTCCCCCGACTGGAACACAACGCGTTCCGCGCCCTTGTCAAATGCCCAGTCCAAGACGGACATGCCATCTCGCACCGCTTGGCTGCCTGCACCACTGCAGCCACCTCCTCCGCCTCCGCCGCCGCCTCCGCCTCCGCCTCCGCCTCCGCTTCCGCCTCCTCCTCCTCCTCCTCCTCCTCCTCCTCCTCCTCCTCCTCCTCCTCCTCCTCAAACCATGGTGAGGTCCGTGGCCACCATCCTGCTTGCCACCGCCTCCGCCATGTCCCTCGACTCCCACAGGTAGCCCAGGAGCAGCGCCCCCACCGCTGCACAAACGCGGTGTCTTTGAACGCCGCGTACAGGGCGGATGCGCTGCCGATCCTCAGGTTGGGGGAGCCGAGGTCGTTGGGTTCCACTCCCTCCGTAATTGCCGCTTGCACTGCCTCCCTCTGAACGTCCGACCTGGTGACGAGCTTGTCGTGGCCGATGGCGAAGAGCGGGTTGTACACCCTCGCTCCCCAGAACATCTCGCGTGCCCATCCCTCGTAGATGGCCAGCGCCTCCACAAAGCACAGGTGCGTGTCCATCTCCGCTCCAGCTGCCGCCTCGATTCTGAAGTGGTTGCGCCATTCGCCCCGGTTGTATTGGTCCGTCATTTCGGCCCGGATCTTGATCACCACCTCGCCCGCGTCGAGTCGGTTCCAACATGGCTTGCCCACGGTCTTCGGTGTGACGTACACTCCCCATCAAGGCTTTGCTGCCCGTGTAGCCATTCTGGTCGCTTGACACGTACTCGCTGGCCCGCAGGGTGAAAAAGTAGCCTGCCTCCACCGCCGCCCACAGGTCTGCACCCTCTCGGGATTTCTCTGGCTGCAGTTTCCGTTTGATCCACCTCCACCTCGTCATCCTCGGCGTCACCGAGTGCTTTCTCTTCCGTCGATAGCCATCCAGATTATCCAAAGTCTCCTCGCGCCCGCCGCTAAGTCCGTGAAGTCCAGGGCCAGGTGCTGGGCCCTGATCGCGCCGAGGTACTGCTTGATGGTGCCCGCCTCTGTTTGCCCGCGGCTTGAGAGGTGCACGAAGAACTCCAGCAGCAGCTCCTCCTCATCCTTCTTGTTGGCCGTGGTCACCTCCCTCAGGGGGCCGACGCCACGGGCAAGACAAAAGAGGGTCCACCACCGCCAGTCCAGGCTTTAGGACTTGAGCGTGGAGCTCGCCAGCTTATCCAGGATGAGCTCCCGCTCCAGCTTGGCCTTCTCCCAGTCCTCTCAGGTCTTGCAGTCCGCCAGCATCAGGTCGCCCTGCTTCGCCTTGGCCACAATGTCCTCTGCGCCGAGCAGTTTCGGCGGAGCTGCTACCTGCGCCTCCCGACCTCTTCCTCCTTTTTTCTCATCGGCGTTGGCCCCCGCCTTCCTGGCCTCCGCCCCTCGGGCATCAGGGCATCCAGAACCCAGCCGAGCCGCCCCGCCCGCTGGTCCAGGTAGCCCCAGATGGCCACCAGCTTCTCAAGCTGCCCCTCCGCCTCGCACTCCAGCGGCCCATTGCGGCAGGATGCTCGATGTTGCCGCGCTTGCGCCCCCCGCCCCTCTCACCGTGGCGACGCAGCGGGAAACCGCCCCCAGGTCGATGCGTTTGAGCCCTCTGACCGTCCTGCAGCCGCGCCCGCGATCAAACGCAGTTCGCACCCCCCTCCCGGCGTCTCGAGGCAGGCCGCCATCGCCCTCCTTGCCTCAGCTTTCGGCCGCTCCTCAGCAGCGCCCTCGCCATCGCAGACCTCCGAGCTGGGAGGTGCGCTGCCTCTTCCGCCCTCGCCCCCCAGCGCCGGGGTCGGGTGAAGGGCGGCCCCCGCTCGCCCTGCTCGGGCCCCTCGCCCCAGCGCACCCTGTCGGGCATCGGCAGAGGTGAGCCCCTCCACCTGTGCCCTCCAGTTGCCAGAGTACGACCGCCCTCCAATGCTCCCCCTCGGCTCCGCCGCCGCCTGGCAGAGGCTCTCGGCCTGGTCGGATCTTGCTTCGCGGCGGCAGGGGGCCTGCCCCGCGCCAGGAAGCCCTCGCGGGCGCCGAAGATCCGGCCCCTCCCCTCGCCTGGCGCGGCGCCCTCTCGGCGGCGACCTCTGCCTCTCCACGCTGCGCCCTGCCCTGGTCAGCGCCGGCAGCCGCCGATTCATTCCTTCGCCTCCCCTCCTCGGCCTCCTTGGCCCCGTCGCCCTCCAGAGCCCTCGCCGCCGCCTCGATGAAGCGCGCGCCCTCCACCGGAGCCTCTGGGGCCTGGCCGGCGGCCCCAGGCGCGCCCCCCGTCGCCCCGACCTGGGCGCGATCGGTCATGCCGAGCCGGCGGCCGCCCCCCGCAGCACCGCGCCGCGCCCGTGGACGAAAGTAGCTTAGTCTGGTCGAAGTCCATATTCCTGACAGAACCTGCCCACCTGCCCATGGGCGTGCCTAGTTTCGTCTTGGGCGAGATCTGGCACTCGCACTCGGCGCCCCCCCCCCCTCTCCCGCCGCATAACATGCGACCCAGATGGAGAAGTGGTCCACGGTCACGCCGCGCCAGTCCTTTTGTGATCTCCTGGTGCATGTCCCGGTGGTTCACCCTTTAGGTTTCGCATTCTCCATCGTCTTCAGCGCATATTGGCGGCGTCGTGGCGCCCAGCGCCGGGCGCGCCTCGCCTTCTGACCCCTGCGCCGCGCCGAGCACGAGTGGCTTCCCATTGCTGGGCGGGGGGCGCCTGCCCAGTTTCGCCCTGCGCTTCTCCTTGGCCACCTCCGCCGTTCCTCCGCGCCCCCCCCCCTCGCGCGGCCCTGCGCCCTCTCCGACCGCCGATTCGGTGCGCTGCGGCTCCTGGTCGTCGGGCGCCTTCTCGCAGCGGCTGCGACGCTCGCGGCCGCCCGCCCACTCCAGCTCCTCGCGGCGGCCGCGGCACGCAAAGCAGCAATAGCCTGGTCCTCCACCTTCCACCGCGAGCACCCGGGGGTCCGAGTGTTCCAGGTAGCCGCAGCCGGGGTCGAGGCAAGGCAGGCCCTCCTGCGCCGCCGAACCCCCCGCCGCCATGCCTCCCAGCCTTTGCCGCGGGGGTCCGCGCCCTTGTGCGTCGCGCGCGCGATCTGCAGTTCCCTCGCGCGCGCCTGGCGCGCGTCCTCCCTGCCGCCCAGTGCCCCGCATTTGGCCTCCTCAGCCTTCTTGTTGGAGGCGACCTGGCCCTTCGGGCCCCCCATCGCCGCGTGACCTTAGCCGCGCAGGCCGCGCCCTCGCGCTCTGGGCCGCAGACGCCCGCCTCGCGCTGCCCCACCGCCCCTTCGCGCACTCGAGCTGCGCCGAGGTCTCCTCGACAAAGGCTTCCACGAGCCCCAGGGTGGCCGACCTGGCGGCCCACCCCGCCAGAGCCTCCTCGCCCGCCCCGTCGGCCGCTCCCCTCCCGAACGCGGCCAGGCCGCCCCCCATCGCCCCCCGCGCGCCCTCGGCGACGAGCTGCCGGACTTCTGGCCGGCAGAGGCCCCCAGGAGTCCATGGCCAGGTTCGCCCTCCCGGCCGCGCCCCCGATTCCCTTCCGCGCAGCCCTGGGGCGGGGCCGCCCGCCAACAGGACGAACTCCTTGACGCCCTCGCGGGGTGCCAGTGACCGCGCGGCCTCGGGCCGCTGCGACCCCCCCGCGCGGGCGCGCGCGGGCCCTGGTTCAGTCTCTGTGACCGAGCCTCAGGGCACCCGCCCTCGCCTTGCCCAAGTAGGATGCTCGGCGGCCACGCCTGCTCCTGGCCCGCGCAGGGGGCGCTCGCAACCCCCCCTCGCGGCCAGCGCGATCCTCCGACGCCAGGCCGTCGCATCGCCGAAGTTCGCGCAGTTCACAGCGATTCGACCCCCCCCCAGCTGAAGCCCGACCAGGCGAGCTCGATCCTGGCGGTGCCCACCTTCGCCGAGCACGGCGCGTCTGCGATCGCCGCGGGCGCCCCCGTCCGCGTCGCAAACTCCGCCTGGCGCCGCGCCTCCTCGCCGTCGTCGTCGGAGAGGCCTGTCATCGCGACGTCCGCCCGCGCGCAGTGCTGGCCCTTTCACTCAGCTACGCTCAGGGGCCACAACACGCGACCTGCGGTCGGCCCGCCACCGACGCCACGAAGCCACGCCACCGCCCCTCGACGCGCGCCTGCCTTGCGCTGCGAGCTCAACGCCCCTCTCCACTCGACAAGTATGATCGGCTTCGCCCGGCGTCGTCCTCGGCGCCCGAGGGCGGCGCGGTCCCCTCCCAGCGGCAGCCAGCTGCTGCGCCACCCTGGGGCCCGCGTCGCTCTGGCCTTCCCAGATCAATGCCCGGCGGGGCCAGCCCCCCTCGGGGCGATTCGACCAACCGCCCATCAGGCTGATGACAGTCATGCCTGGGAGAAGGTGGCGACCGTAACGTTGCGACCTGGCCCCTCGGGCCCCCCATCGCCGCGTGACCTTAGCCGC